TCATGGCGATCACCGACGCGCAGCTCGCCGACGAGCAGCTCGTGATCGCGCTAGAGGCGCGTGCCAGCCTCGGCAGCATATTCCGCGCGATGGTCGCGGTGCGCGACCGCGAGTGTGGCAACGGCCGGGCAGTGCGCAACCTGCTCGAGCGGGCAAAGCGAGAGCAGGCGCTGCGGCTGGTGGGGCTGCCCGGCAAGAAGAGCAAGGAGCAGCTGATGCTGCTGCTCGCCGACGACTTTGCGCCCGTGCTCGGCGAGCTCGGCCTAGCGGGCCGATAGTTGCGCCCTGTGCGCTCGTGGGGCTTTGCGTCCTGTGTCTCGGTCGCTCGAGGCGTCTCGCTCTTTCTTGCCGACGTCTACTGTCGAGCCGGCACCAACTTGATTCGTAGATCGGCGTCTCCCCCTCCCCCTATGGACCGCCACCCCCCTCCAATCCGTAACTCCGTAAAATCGCGTAAAAAGCGCCCAAATTGAGCGTGAAGCGGCTCCAGCCGCCTCGGAGCGTGCGCCCCAGCGCTTGCGGCAGGCGATACATTGGGCCAGGTACCAATTTTGTCGAATTAATTTCAAAATCTGCAGGCGCGGAGCGCCTGCGAAAATTTTGAAGAAATTTGCAGTCGGGCCTGATTTTCATCAAGATCTTTCACATTTGCGGTGTGGAGTTTGGGGGGTTGGTTAGGTTTTAGGGTTATTAGGGTTAGAGGGTTAGGGTTAGGGTTAGGGTTAGGGTTAGGGTCAGGGTTAGTCTTGTTGTGTCTGTATATGCCAGCGTTAGGGTTAGGGTTAGGGTTAGGCTGCGGGTTCGTCTTCTTTTGGGGTTTGTATGCCAGCGTTGCAGAGTTCTGCGCTGGGATCTGGCCCCAGCGCCGACGAGTAAGACTCAGCACCGCACGCTGACCCCACCAAATCGCAAATGCCGCCTCAGGGCGCCAGGCCGCCAGCCACCTCTTACACGCGGCCGGCGCCCTCTCGCGGCAAAAGGGTCGAGCGAGCGGGCAGAGTCGCGATGTCCCTGCGCACCTGGATGTTCGCCGCCTATATGCTCTATCCTGTCCCAAGACGGACACGTTTTGACAATCAAAATCTACCTCAAAATTTGCGGCCGCCCCTCGAAATTTGCTGATCAAAATTTGCGGTGGCCCGGATCGAAACCTGTACTTTGGCCAAGCGATACACGGCGTGACTGAGGACTTTCGGCGACGTCCGTTCCCTTGGTTGGACACGCGACACATGGCACGGACGATCTCAGCATTGTGCTGGAGGGTCTGCTCAACGAACTCGGGATAGCCGACCTCAGTACGTTCGAGGCTTTGCTCTTGCACGATACAGGCGCGGTGCTCGACGCGATCCGAAGCACCGCTGCAGCCGCAGAGGCTGGTGCGGCGGCTTATGCCAGCTCAGCCACGAGCAATGTTGTTGTGTCCCCAAGCAGCACTGCTACCGCTGGCGTAATCTCTGTGCAGC